CATTAAAAACAAAATAACTATATACAATAGAAAACAAAAAAAATATGTATACAATAAAAAAGAAAATGAAAGGCAGAAGAATAAATCTTATATTTGCTCCTTTTTGCTCAGAATATATTCAAACAAAATAATTTGCAAAGAAACAAAACTAAATAAAATCATCAATTCAAACAAAATTTGTATAGATACACATTATACTTTACCATATTCCTTCAGAAAAGTAACTTAACATTTCCTTGACTATGTACATGGATCTGGCAGTTTTAACTTCATCCTTCAGACCAGTCCTATTCCCTGAATTATAGTGGACCGCTCCTTCAAACTGGTACAAAACCAACGCTTCACAAACATCTATCCCTTTAAGATAATAACCACTCTCCCTTTTAACAAAATGTACTTGGATATTAGAAGGTAGTATGTTTTTGTGAGCCTTATACATAAATAGTAAAATATTATAATCAACCAAGTCATAGAATTTCAATATCTTTAGTAGATAAAACAATGCATTTGATGAATGTCTATAATATTTTCTAGTGATAAATCTTACAGCTCTTTTCTGTAAAATAAAAATAGGGTTTGTAATTGTTTTTACATGCTTTACCCCAGACTTCAATACAGTAAATTAAGTGTGGGATGATTATTGCATTAGACAACATAAACAGTGCTTTATCATTGAGTAACTCCCTTACTTTGTACAGTACTGCAATAAATTTAGCTATTTTTGTTCTTAAATTGTTTATGAGGTTTCCATGTCAGTTTTTCATCAATGATAACACCCAGAAACTTCACCTCACTGACTCTACAAATATCAACACCATCAACTCTAAATGGAGCATCGACAGTTCTCTTACCGTTACTGAATATCATGTACTTTGTTTTATCCAAATTTAATGATAATTTGTTAAGTTGAAACCAATTTTGTATTTTCACAAATTCTGTTTGTACCAACTCCAACATCCATTCTATATCTTTACCCGAACAAAGAAATGTAGTATCATCTGCAAATAAAACACATCTAAACAGTCCCGACACACAAACCAGGTCATTTATATATAAAATAAATAACTTGGGTCCAAGTACAGAACCTTGAGGCACTCCACATGTGATGTTAAAGTTCAGATCTTACATCATTTATTGAACAAACCGTTTCCTTTCTTCTTGTTTTCTTTCTTCCTTTACAAGTTAACTTTGGAATGTTTTCTAAAGGTGTGCAGGTTCAATCTTATACCTGAACCTCTAATACAAAAATAAAATAAGAAACCGCTACATCCGTGTAACGTGTCGGCTTTCAAACTACATGATGATGGCACCTTATTCAGTCTGACAATCTAAGGAGTCCGTGGATATCTGCAAGTTTCAGCATGTCAAATTTAACTTGCAACGGAAAGTTTTTGTAGAGTTGAGGGGTTGTCAGATGTATTAAAAAATTAAAAGTATATATAGCACAGGGAGTCATTTGCAGAAAATTAATTACCTTTTTTTTTGTCAGACAGATTTCTCCCTTAAAATGAGAATTAGAAAATTATACCAAAAAAAGTGGATTATATTTACAGGATTTCAGCTCATGTCATTTAATACGATTTATTTTTTCATATTTGATCATTTATTCCATTGCATTTATCACAGTACAGTTACCACTCAGTATGATTCTAAAAATAATCAAGTTCAGCTCTTTCAAACAGCCACAGCTTGTTGCTATAATTCCATGATGACCTGAATTTAGCAGATATTTATGATAAACTACAAAAAAAACAGAGTCTTTGACACACAATGAAGCAGCGCAGGACTTCCAGCAGAGTTAAAGGTTCGTTCAGGATGGCAAAGAATCATTAGAAGAGAGGAGTGGGTTCAAACCGGATAAAGAACAGAATGACACGTGCTCATACGGATGGAAGAGATGGAAACTTTAAAGCAATTTTAGGTCTGACCTTAAATAAATAAACCAATAAATGAATTTTAATAAATAATAAGTGGATTAATAATTTTGACTGCATCAATCAGTAAAATAGGTTCTTTTTTCAGATCAAAGGTTTGATTCCTGCATATTTTGCCCGTTCTACGAGACCGATTGCGTCACTTTATGTACCCTCACCACCCCCAACCTAAAATAATTCATGTTTTCTTTTATTTATTTATTTATTTTTAACAAATGATGCAAATCTTTCTGTCAGTCGCCTGAGAGAAGAAACTTTTTTTGGGGGGGGAATAAAACAAAAACACAAATCATACCATTCTTGTGTGATTATTTGCACTTCACGTTCATCTGGATAAACTCAGGGGGACAGTTTTAGGACTTTATATTGGGTGACTCATTCAAAATGTAATATTGCAGAATACAGGGCAGCAGAAATTGTGTCCATGCAAAAGAAGCTAAAAAAAACAAGTGTCTAAATGTGTGTGTGGTCAAACTTTCACCAATATGCCGATTTTAACGTGCACAGATGCATCTTTAGATGTGTTTAAAGCTTTAGGCTCACCGTTTGACCTGCACCTTTGGGAGCTCTTCAAAATATATTTTTATTTACTTTGCAAAATGAATCAATCATCTAATCTGTCCTGCTCATTTAGACTCATTAAAAAGAGAACTGGCAGAGTCATGATAACCCCGAGGCTTGCTTATTGCCCAGTCGAATAAAGTAAATAAATATAATTCACAAAGTCAGGCACTCTTCATGGTTGGAAATGTTTTTTAGAATACAATGATGACTTCATGCTTCATAATCACCTTCATGACTCACGGGATTAGCATCAATCCTGTGGTCAATATTTTTTAGACAAGTCTAAAAGATTAAAGACAAATAAAATCACTAACATACGGGAGAGGATTAGGGCCACGGTGCAAAAAATATACATTTTTCCTTAATCATTTACTTTCTCAAACTTCCCTTGGTTGTTTATGTGAGCAAGAAGCCCCCCCCCCCCCCCCCCCCACACACACACACCACCCGCTCCCCTCCCGAGAACATCTGTGGACCTATGTCAGAGTTGAGCCGGCTGGTATACCTCCATCTCTCATCAGGACTATGGAACGATCTGGCAGTGTCCACGGACAACTCACGGCCCTCGTCGGCCTCCTCGTAATGATGTCATCACCATGTTTCTGTTTTATGTGCTGAGGTAGTTTTTTTGCAACTTTCACACTGTGTCCACAGACAGATTTTTTTGCACCTCCCCTTCGTGTTTCTATTTCCTTATCTGAGAAAAAGGGCTGCACACCCCGAGGCCAGTGGCCTCAGTCACCTCCGTCTGTTTGTTTATGTTCTCTCGGACGGGCTGTACTGAAAACTGTAATTTTGTTGTGCTTTGGTGCAATGACAATAAAGCTGATTCTGATCAATTCTCATAAAAAAGTCAGAATTCTGAGAAAGAAAGAAAAAGTCAAAATTAAAAAAATGTATTCTAACTTTAATCTAGTCATCGTTTCGTTTTTCAGACCCAACATTAAAAGTGTCCGTTCTTAAAAAAAAGTCACATTTACATTTTTATTCCTTGCCTTTATTACAGTAACAGCCATTCTTAATTTGAATTTTTAGACTTTAAATCTAATGAAACAACTTCACTTGCGGTTAAACTCCTTACAGACTGAGCTTTCTCCGTTTCCCATTCATCCATTTTCTTTACTTTGTAGTTTCTCGCCAGGGCTGCGGGGAGATCGTGTCTATCTCCAACGGTTATTGGACGAGCGGCACCTGGTGACACTTTAGATTCACCAGTAAACCCAGCGGCCATGTTTTTAGCCTGCCGAAGGGAACCCTGTGTTTCCAAACCTGTAGTTGGAACTATCACAAGACACAAGCAAAAAATAGCAACCTATTCATCCGTTTATGGTGTGACAGAAACCTTAACAAACATTATAATGACATCATCCCATTGCCTAAAACCCACACTGGATCAATCAAAGATCGTGTTAGGTAAGTATGTGTGTTGCCATGTTTTGTCGCCCCATTTAGCAACTTTACAAACACGTTTAGCCACATTTTTTAAGACAAACAACTGATAAAAAAAATAGCTCATTCCTTCATGCACATAAACATGAGGTGTATTATCAATAAGTTATCAAATTTGACTGTTGATAAATTTTGCAGCAGCAGCGCTCACTCTGCCCAGTAGGGGGCAGAGCAAACAAGGAAGGACACCACAGCTGAGAAAGATGTGGATGGGTGATGAAAGAAAGACTTCCATTGTATTAAAAAGACAAATGTAAATGAAAAACCATAACTTATAGATTGTGGGGCGATTTCTTCTTGATAAATGCAGAGGTCAGAAAGATTCTATATGATTGTCAGCTGAGACACAATTTGTGTATTTTAAAAGTTTGCACCAAATGTTGTACGTATTCAGTCTAATATTTTGTCCTGACGTACAAGAATTGACGTTGACGTCTCCCAGTAAAACAGTCAGCACGAACAGACAGTGGTAAAGCATCAACCAGCACGGTGTGATGTCCTTATTAATGCCAGGAGATTTGCTCCTTGCCCGTCTCTCTTTTATTTTCATTTCCTGGCACGGCTCATAATGGGCGCACACCATCAAATTATTACTCAGGCAGATAAAATAGCTTTTTATGTGGCGCCTGTGAGCCACCAAGCGCCAAGCAAATCGAGCAAATGAAGAGGAATCAGAAGGTCATTTAAGCCCCAATAATCAACAAACAAATAAATAAAAAAGCATCTTGTGAATAATTTTCTCTGCCCATTATTAGTGGCAAACTTGTCCCCATACAAACAAAGCATCTGACTCGATGTAACGCAGCACTGACTGAGTGACAGATGGAAATGAGTTGTGGATTATTTTGCTCCTGCAAGATAATGTTGGCTAAAAGCTGCAGCTAATTACCTCAAATGCAAATTGACTTTTAAATGAGCAGCAGATGTTAATTGCATCATGTGTTTTATTATAGGAGAAAATTTGAATATTTTCATTTAAAAAAAATCCCTTCCTGACTGATATTTAAGAAAGCCTGAGCAACTTAAATGATAAATGATTGAGTTATGAATTACCTGATGCCTTTGATTTGTGCAATGCTGTGGTGGGAGATCCTGGACAGAGCAGAGATGACCTGAAATACAGAATAAACAGAACGCATATCAACTTGAAGTTTACACATTTCTATTGTCTTTTTCTACAGGAAATACTCCATAGCAGAAAAAAAAAAAGTGCATTGAGCATCAAAATCAGGAAATACAGCTACTTGAGGTACAGACTTTACAAAATGCAATAAAAAAGAAAATCAGGTGCTGCTTATCAAGTAACAACAATGCAACCACAGCTATTAAAGTACAAACCCTAGAACTCAAGCTGTGAAAAAACATCTGAGTGTCGACAATTTGAACTAATTACAGTGACAAATAAGACATTATATGCAAAATGAAACAAAGTTAAAAGCTAAGACCCTGGTAGCAGCTCTAAGGGTGAACGTTACTTTTGTTTCATAGCAACCTTTCTTCAGCAAAAAAAAAAAAAAAACCTCGCTTCAGAAAGGACACTGTGCACACTGGAAGCAGACCGAATGAAAATAGTCCAAAAGTGTACAATCATGAATCAACTGGGACCACTTTAGTTGCAGCCTGCCACTATGAAAGGTGGGCGATCGTGTAACTGTCTGTGTGTGATTTTATGTTGGTTGGAACTCCTGTAACCAAAATATCTTAAACTTCTGAAGAGGTTTTAATGAAACTATTAGAAAGTAATCATTAGCTCTAGGCTAACTCTAAAACTAATTCATGTTTGAACGCAATCCAATTTAAGATGTCTAACAAAGTTGAGTCAGGTCCTCTGGATGATGATTCTTGTTGAAACGCTTCGACTTTTAACCAAAAGACTTCGTCAGTCTGAGGAGTTGCCACAAACTCAGTCTTATAAATAGCACCAGTGGATCAACCAGTTTGCTGGTGACAGCCAGAGAGCTGTTCACGTGCAAAAGGAAGACCATCAGTCTAACGACTGATCGTTAGTGCCCTGAGGTCCGTTAGATAGTCAGAGGATTCCAACTATATATTCCAATTTAAGATGGTTGCCACGACTAACTGACTTTCACAAATGGCTAAAACTTTTTGAATTTGACAGAAATTAAACTAAAACTTGGTAAGATTGTAGCTTAATCAGCTCCAACACTTTGAGCACTAACAAATCAACAGTTTAATTGAGGTGGTGGGAGATGCACATTTCTTTAAAGAACGTTTTATTTTATTTGATCATGATTTGACCATCAATAAAAATGTAAAATGAATGGGTGGTTCAGTTGGTACAGCTGTTGCCTCTCAGCGAGAAGGTTGCCGGTTCAAATCCTGGCCCGGGACATTTCTGGGTGGAGTTTGCACGTTCTCTCCGTGCATGCATGATTTTTCCTCTGGGAACTCCGGTTTCCTCCCACAGACCAAAAATATGCATGTTAGGCTGATTGGTGACTCTGAGCATGTGAATGCTTGGTTGTCTTGTTTGTCTCTATGTGTCCCTGTGATGGGGACAGCTGTGGCTGAGTGGTTAGAGCAGTCGTTCTCCAATGGGAGAGTTGGGGGTTTGATTCCACCAGCAGTCACATGTTTAAGTGTCCCTGGGAAAGACACTGAACCCCTCATTGCCTCTGGTGTGTGTCCCATCGATGTATGAATGTGATTTAACAAGCTCTGATTAGTATCTCAAGATTCAGATTAGCTTAGTACAGATCTAGTAGGGTGCTGTGTGGATGGGTAAACGAGGGCACAGGTTGTGGTGTAAAGCGCTTTGAGTGTCTTGACTAGATAGAAAGGAGCTATACAAGTACGAGCTATTTACTATTCCATTTGATAGACTTGCGACTCGTTCGGGGAGTACCCCGTCTCTTGCATAGTGACTGCTGGATATGGGCACCAGTGACCTCCATGACCCGAAAAGGAAAAAGCGAGTAAAGATAAGGGATCCTAATTGGTTTGGCTGATAAAGTAGAGTTGTGTCTACTGCAGCACTCGCAATGAAATTAAGCAAAACAAGATTCAATTTGAAAAATAAATGGAGAAACTGAGAATGGACAAGCCAATCAGATTTTGATAGACATCTAAAATGGCAAGAAGTGCATAAAGCTTGGTGACGATCCAAGGTCTGAATGGCCTTTCAGACCAATAGTTTTTACTACAAAAAGGTTAAATGCATCCCTATTTAGTTTTAACTCTTCTTATGAGACACACATAATCGCATTTATGGTTGAGTACTACAGATGGTGCACTCGCAGGCTAATTTAGAGAATCACCTATCACAAAACACCCCAACACATTTGACAACACACAACATAAACCCGGTCTCCCATGCCTCATTACCCACTCTTAGGTGGATTTCGGGTTACAACACCATGATGCCAGATGTCTCCTCAAGAGGGAGGAGAAAATTGTTATCTCAACCTGTTTTCCAGGCAGGTGTGTCATCCACAACCTCTCATTAAAGACCCTGTTCTCTAAACACACAATATGACAGCCGTGCACTAGTGGTATTTATCTCTGAAGTTGAGCTTGTGCTAATGGCTTTCATGAATAGAAGCTTGGCACTTTAGGACAGTGAAGCACTTCTATAGAAGTGTTGTTGACCAAAGCCTTTAACTCTCTCTATTCAAGGTCTTCTCATGTTTAATGGAATTAGTCACAGAAAGAGAGGGGATTAGATGGAGCACCGTTATGGAGTGCATATACATCACCGTCATTTACATCTAAACACTTTAATGGAGGGAAACCTCAGCAGAACTTCTGTTCAACAGAATGATAAGTGGTTTATACAATATGGAGAATAATAGGTCCAATGTGGAGCCATTCTACCATTAAACATCTCAACAAAAATTCTAATTAAACTGCACGCACACACGCATATATATATATATATATATATACAAGTATAAACTTCAAAGAAAAACAGTAATAAGATCTAAGTTATAAACTAAGAAATACACTAAACTGAGAATACGCTAAGCACTAGTAGTAGAAAAAAACAATACACCAAATGTACAATGTTTATGTACAACTGCCAATGATGCCAAATATAGGAATATATCAAACTACCAGTAAATAACAATGACCTTTTTGTGCCAGTAAATATATTGTTATTGTAAAACATACTGTATGTGCATTTATGAGTTATTATGAGCATCGCTCTAACCCTAACATGAACACTGAAAACGAAGACAGGACTAAAAAGTTGGGGAAATTGATCAAATCAGACTTAGGTCTTTGAATGAAGGACCAAATAAAGAGAAACACTAGAATTTGAGATTCACTTAAAGATGGACCAAAAAGAAGAAGAGGAAGATGAGTAGACTGCAAGTGACGCTCCACTGCTGAAGTCTAGTGGTCAGGGTGTTTAAAAATCACTGTGGATAAACCCATTGTGCTGTCTGGTGGCACTCAGCCCACTGGTCTTTGCAGGCAGGGATCACATATGGCAGACTGCTCCATTGTCATTTTATTATTCTCAAAAGTGGTCCTCCTGTTTTAGCCTCAACAGCCTACATTATCTTCTTGGAAGGAAGAACAATCTACTTCACCTACAGAAAAATCATGAATGAAAAAGACGCATTGCTAAATTTGACATTTTACTTCAAACACTTATTACTGAGGTCTGGTGTGATCTGCTGCAGACAAACACAGCTGCTTTTAGCCCACGATGATCCCAGTTCAAAGGATAGCAGCGCTGTTGGCTTTCATCCAGATGGGTCGCAGAAGGACTAAAGCTTGCCAACGCATTTGAGTGTCGGCACTGCACATTAGCATGACTTTCACACATTACAGAGTAAAGCCTGTAAAGTAAAGCCTCGTGTTAGTTTTAAGTGCTATAATGTGAAGAATATGTCTTAAAAGTGGGAGTGCTGGGAAGAGGAAGGTCTGGGGATGTTTGCTCTGACTGTTGCCTCCATAAGAACTCAGACACTGGTGACAGAAAATAAAAGGATAATAGAATAAACTTGGTCCAGGGTTATAGTCCACTGTTCCATGGTAAATTTGGTAAACATAAGATATAATTTAACTGAATCAACTCACTCTAGATAGTCGTCTAACAGTTCATGTTTTCTTTAAAGAGAGAATACAAGGCATACAGATGGGGAACGCTTTCAGGGAACACTTTTTCAAGAGATACTTTTTTTATGTCACTTTCTGCAAGTGTTTCATAATGTCTCTCCTCTTACCTTCAAATCTTTTCTCAAAGGTGGTCGGTTTATCTGCTTTTTTTTGTGATTCTGCCTCCCATCCAGTCCTCAGCCTCTCTTCTGATCCTTTGATGCAGAGTCCTTAGATCTCTACACGTTATTAGTTTCCTTCTCATCTTACCCTCCCCTGGGAGTCTTAACTCAGGGCTACCCAGAGAATAGAGCATCTCTAAGCCCATTAGTAATATAGAAAAGACAAGTCACACAATGGGGTGATAACATTTTGCCTTAAACCATTATCTACCTTAATCACCACTCCATAACTAAAGCATTCTGCAGGACAGTGGGACACATCTCAAGTTAGATGTACTGAACCAATTTCTCCATGAAACTCTTATGCAATAAGTGCAAATCTTTTATTATGGAAAAGGAAATCCCTGGTAAGTGACTGGAAAAAATAAAAATAAATCATGCCAACTTTATGTGTTCACCTGCTCCTCGTCTCAGCAGGGTGCCAAGCCCACAACACATGAGGCCATCCTGCAGCCCATAAAAAAAAGGACCAGGAGAACCTGGTTCCCCCTGGCAACAAGGGCTCAACTGAATATGCACAGTCATAAATTACCTCACAGATCACGTCAAAACTGCAGCCATATGCTATCACCAGTAGGATGTTGTGGCCGTGATCCGATTACAACCAGAGAACACAATCCAACACACCTCGTTGCCAATTCTGCTAAAATCCAATGCAGTCATGACATGATTATATCTCCCACCACAAATCAGTGCAATTCTTGGATGTCATCCAACAAAGAGGGAAAGACTAATGGAAAATTAATCCTATTAATCTTTAACATTTCTCATTTGACTTTAATCCCTAAAACTTCAATATGTTTATGAAATATTCACACGCTGATAAGGCGGCGTTGCCTTTGAGTACTCCAGCCAGTAAAAAA